AAGTTCCTTCAGTTCGAATTAGTTAACCTTAGTTCCTATTAGTTCTTATTCTTGTAATTATAAAGTTCTATAATAAAGTATAACCTTTTACACTATAAACGAACTCCCTATTTTAAGCGTGTCTTGTTTGATTGGATTTCAGTCATAGTTAAACGTACTTAATCTCCCTGAATGCAAATCATAGTTAATCTATTCAACGTAACAAATCAGTTAACAAGTGGTGATTCCTGCCAGGTAAAAGGCTATACTGTGAATTAACAATTGATTTCTTTTCTCAGACGAACTTGAGAATACTTGCAGACGTACTTGCAGACGTGATTTCTTTTCTCAGACGAACTTGAGAATACTTGCAGACAAACTTGCAGACGTAATTTCTTTTCTCAGACGAACTTGAGATATTTGCAGACACACTTGCAAACGAAATTTACTTTCTCAGACGTACTTGAGATATTAGCAGACGTACTTGCAACAATTTGAATCTTGAAATTGAATGCCCTTTTACAATTTATCTAAAGCAGAATTAAAGTCACATCAAAGAAAACATCGTAGAGGAAGAACAATCAACCAAAAAGAAGTTTACTGTATTCAGTGTTAACCAACAGATTCTATTCCAGCTGACAATATCCCTGACGGATTTGAGAAATTTTGGCTCTAGATTTCTATTCAGTACACAGCAAAACAATATACTGGAGCAACAGTAGCCGCTTTTAAAGTATTAAAAACTGAATTCTTCATAACTATACAACTCAATACACTTGTCGGTATAACTACTAAGATCTTACAAAGTATAAAGTTTTGACAAATAAATACTCCTTTATTAGAATTATCCTTTTATTTACATAAATTATTTGAATTAACAAACGGATTCAAGAGTTTACCAACCAATACTCAAGTAACCAACGCATATCAAATTTTTCATAATATACCAGTAAAAAATAACGCCAACATGGATCAAGGACAAATGAGAGATCTTATGAAGTTAGTCTGGGGAACTGACCCAACTGATAATAATAACCCCAGAAATGTTGGAAACCTCTTGGAAAATACTTTGAATAATAATAAAACTGCCATTACTACTGCGTTACAAAATAATCTTAATGCCCTCAATGCTCTTACAACTGCCAACCAAAATCGTACAACATCTAAAGTTGTAGATGTTCCCTTTTTCTATGGGCGTGATGATAAAGATCCATACGAATGGTGTCGACTCTTTGAAGCTGCCTTTGCAGCTAATGGATGGCCAGATAATCGAAAAATTGCTTTAGCCGCTGGATTTCTTAAGGAAGCTGCCCGAGATTGGTATGAAGAGAATAGAGGAAATATCAAACAATGGCAAATAGATAACAATGCAGATAACTTTGACACCCGACTTATAAACTACTTTGCAACTGCTGCTCGAAGGAATCAGTGGACCAGAGAACTGCAAAATATTAAACAAGGAGACAATGAATCAGTAAAAAAATAATCAAGACATTTTAAGAAGCTGTTAAATAAAGCAACACAAGGGGAAGCTTTAGCCGCAAGATACCAAATTAACTACTATATTAATGGTCTCAAGTCCTTCTTAGTTGGACAGGTAGTAATTGGGAATACTGATACTTTGGAAGCAACTATTACCCGAGCCAAGTTAGTAGAACTAGGTGTAAATACTACTCTTTTAACTACAACACCTGTAACTACTAGTACTATAGAATTTATTCCAACTACTACTACTACTGTTAAACCAACTCCACAAGTAGATGAAATGGAAGCATTAACAAAACAAATGCAACAACTCGCTCTTAATTATGCAAATCTTTCATCAGTTTTAATGGTTCAACAAAGCACTCCTCGAAATACTAGACCGAGACCTAATAATAATAACAATCAAAATCGTCAGAATGGTCAAGCCCCTACTCAGAATTCCTTTAATCCAAATATCACTTGTTTCAGGTGTGGAAATGTAGGTCATATTTCCAGAACTGCCAAATGGGAAGAAATACCAATAATGGAAATATTAATAATAATAATAATAATAATCGCCCTCGCCAAAGAGCACCAGTTACACCTATTAATTATGCAGATGATGAAGCAGAAATTTACTATGATGAATATGAGGATGAATATGAGGAAGAATGGGAGGAAGAAGACGAATATGAAGCATATGTCACAACTCGTTCTAGATCTGTTCCATATGAGATATCCTCTCCTAAAGGAAAAAGAACAAGATTTTCAGAATCTCGAAAGGAAGACCAATTACGTACCCAACCTATTCCTCCAGTAACTCCTTCTACACCCATGGATATGGATGCTACAGCAGAACCTTCTACAAAAAGAAAAGTAAGAACCAAAATGGTCCCTGCGCCTATTGAAAATGTCAATGAATTTGACATAGCTAAATATATTAGTGACCTACCTTGTGGTCTATCTATTGGTCAAGCTACAGCTCAACTTCCTGTTTACAGGAAAGGATTAATTCAAAGTATGAGAAGAAAACGTGAAAAGATTGACAATAATAATTATATTGGAGAAAGTTACTATAGAGACTCCAACTCAGAAGAAGAAACTTCTACTACCGCTGCTAAATGTGAATTTCATATTAACCAACAACCAGTTATTGCAGTAATTGATAGTGGAGCTGCAGTTAGTATTATGACTACTGCCATGATGAAAACTTTGAAATTAACTATCGATGGACCTTCAGAATATGTAATTAAAACTGCCAATGGAACTAGAGTTAGATCATTGGGAGAAATCCAAAACTTGCCCCTAAAAGTCAGAAATTTAATTATTAAAACCAATGTTCAAATCATAGAATCAAGTGATAGTGTTTTCATTCTAGGAAATAACTGGATGAGAAAGGTAAATGCTGCTCTTGACTGGGACAAGAAGACACTAACTATCAGATACAATGGACGATCCACAACAGTCCCTGTGATTTTTACTCTCCCAAAACCTATTAAAATGAAGCAATCATTTGAGTATGATGATGAGGAAGAATATGAGTCTGAAGAGTTAGAAGAAGCTCAAATCTATATGTCTGATTTTTCTGGTTATTCAACAGAAGAATCCCTTGAATTTAACCCATGGGAAAATGAAGTATCTCCTACCCACCAAAATAATGAAGATGAAGAATTGGAAGAATCAAATCCTGCCATTTATTTAGCTCAAGCAGAAGTATATAGTGGAGAAAAAGTCAATCCAGACTTACATTTAGGACCGTTAGACTACCATCAACAAAGCCAATTTCAACAACTCTTGAGTGACTATGCAGATATTTGTGCTAAAAGTCAAACGGAAATTGGAAAAACAAATGTAATTAAGCACAAAATTATTACAAAAGATGCTACTCCTATCTCTCAACCACCCTATTGATGTAATCCTAAATATAGAGAGTTTTTACAAGGAGAAATCACAAGAATGGAAAGTCAAGGTCTTATACGAAAATCAGCCAGCCCTTGGGCTTCATCTGTAATAATTGTTGATAAAAAAGGAGGAGAAAAACGTTTATGCATAGATTATCGCAAATTGAATGCTGTCACCAAAGCAGATGCTTACCCATTGCCTCGAATTGATGATATGCTTGAATCTTTTAGTAATGCAACATGGTTTACCACATTAGATTTAGCCAGTGGTTATTGGCAAGTAGCCATGGATTCAACAGATATTGAAAAAACTGCCTTTATTACTCCATTTGGACTATATGAATTTTTAGTAATGCCCTTTGGTTTAGCTTATGTGCCTGGAACTTTTCAACGACTAATGAATAGAATACTCCAGGAGTATCTAGGAAAGTTTGTGGCAGTATACTTAGATGATGTAATCATTTACTCAAAGGGAACCTTAGAGCAACATTTAGATCATCTTAGACAAGTATTTGAAACTCTTAGACGAGCAAATCTAAAGATTAAACTTAAAAAGTGTTATTTTTGCCTTGGAAATATTCATTTCCTAGGACATGTAGTAGGACGAGAAGGTATTCGACCTGATCCAGAAAAAATTGAGAAAATTAGAACTTTTCCAGTCCCAACAAACCTAACGCAACTTCGCTCAGCATTAGGCTTATTCTCTTACTATCGAAAGTTTATCAAAGATTTCTCAAAAATAGCCAAACCAATGTTATTACTTTTAAAGAAGGAAACTCCTTTTCATTGGACTGAGAAACAACAAACTACATTTGATTATTTGAAGGAAAGATTAATTAAATCCCCAATCTTAACATACCCTGACTTTGAACAACCCTTCATTATTCATACAGACGCATCTGGTACTGGACTTGGTGCTGTGTTATCACAAATAAGAGAGGATGGAAAAGAACATGTAGTCGCTTATGCCAGCAGATCTTTGAATAAGGCTGAGTGTAATTACCCTATAACTGACCAGGAATGTCTTGCGATAGTGTGGGCTATCAAACATTTCCAACACTACTTAGGATTAAAACCTTTCACAATTGTTACTGACCATTCTGCTCTAAAATAGTTAAAGACATCCAAAATCCCAAAAGGTTGCCGTGCGAGATGGGTCATGGACCTTCAACAGTATGACTTTAATATTAAGCATCGAGCGGGAAAAGCAAATGCAAATGCAGACGCATTATCCAAAATGTTTGAAGAAGATAATCAAACTCTTAGTTGTTTCATGATTTCTATCGAAAAAGAAAAACAAACTAATGCAAATGAAAGCTTTACTCCAGTACATGAAGAGTATGATGCAGATTCAGAAGATGATTATACCGATAGACCTGCTCAAAGAGCTATCGATTTGCTAAATCGTTGTGATAATTTATTATACGATATGCAAACACAGGTCGAAAAGTGAAAAATCAGGCACCAATCGGTCACCAATCAGGTAGCTGATTGGTGACTGATTGGTGACTGATTGGTGACTGATTGATGCCTGATTTTTCACTTTTCGACCTGTGAAAGTTACATTGAAGAACGATCAGAAAATAGTTCTCCTATCAATATTATTTCAGGAATTCGATATGATTTCGACAACCCCAATGGACCTCATCCAGAAGATTGTATTTGTAAAGATTGTCAACCTCCTCCAGCCCGTTCGCCATCACCATATAGTTGCTGCAATGAGATTATTTGTCAGTGTAATGAAGATAACTATTCAATTAATACAGAAGAATATAATAATTCATGGAAAAGACAAATTAATGGAGATGCATTCTCTGATTATTCAGAAGAAAATCAGATCAATATTGAAGAACATATCACCTGGACCATGTGTGGTATGGACCATCAAGCTCTAGAAAATATGTATTTGGAAAACATCAAAATTAAACAAGTAATCGCTAGTCAACCAATCAATCATGGTGGAAGTCGTTGTACCATGGAATGTGATACAGAAAATCATCACGTGCATACATATTGTAAGATGTGCAAAAAGAATTTATTTTAAGGAACTAATATACAAAAATGTATAATTGGATTCACTTTAGGAAAAATTAGGCCAGATATGAATCCCAAATTTCTTATTAATAATCAATGGTGGAAAGAACCTCAAGCAGTACAACTTGAAAATAATATCAATTATCTTAAATATATCGAACGATTAATGAATGATTTACCAGTTCACAAAGTATCTTTGGAACCTTTCATCGCCAACTTGGACTAAAAGTCCACCTTTTTTACATATTATAATTAACAAAGTATCAAAGGGTGAAAGCGAAAGTGTCCGCATTGTGACGAGACAGCCTAAATTTTCAAAAATGGATATCGAACATTACAATAACATATATAATTATTTAAAATATAATCAATTACCTTCTACATTAAATAACTAACAACAACAACAAATTCAAAAACAATCAGTATATTTTATTATCAAAAATAATTTCATTTATAAAAAGGATAAAAAGAAACAAAATAATTTATTACGAGTGATTAGAAAACATGAATTGGAACCAGTTCTTTTTATGTTCCACAATGATCCTACTGCTGCACATTTTTCAGTTGACACAATGTTTGACAAAATTCAATCAAGATATTATTGGCCACAAATGTACAATGACATCAGATCTTATGTCATGTCATGTGACTCTTGCCAACGAAGAGGAAAACAAAAGACAAAGTTACCTTTACATCCTATTCCAGTAGAAGGTCCTTTTCATCAAATAAGAATAGATTTTGTAGGACCTTTACCTATAACTACTAATGGAAACAAATATATAATTACAGCAATGGATTATTTAACAAAATGGCCAGAAGCACGACCTGTAAAAGAAGCTACTGCAGAACAAGCTGCACTTTTTATTTATGAAGAAATAATTTGTCGACATGGATGTCCAGCAAAAATATTATCAGATCAAGGAACTCATTTTAGAAATCAAATAATTGAAAAATTAATGGAAAAATTTCAGATAAAACATTTATTTTCAACGCCATACCACCCTCAAACAAATGGACTTGTAGAAAGATTTAATCGTACTTTATCAGAATCTTTAGCAAAATTATCAACAGATCATATTGATAATTGGGATAATTATATTGCACCAATTTTATTTGCTTATCGTACTACAAAACATTCAACTACAAAAATTGCACCTTTCTTTTTATTATATGGACGAGATGCTAAACTACCAACTGATTCATTAGAAAATAATGGAACTCCAACTTTAATAAATCACATAGAAAATTTAGTTGACCAACTACCTCAAGAAATTGAAATAACTAAGACAAATATTGAAATATCTCAACAAAAACAAAAAGAACGACATGATAGAAAATTACGTCATCAAATAAAATTTTCTATCGGAGATAAAGTCTTATATTATGACGCAGCAAAAGAAAAGCAATGGACTGGAAAACTAAACCCAAAATGGAAAGGACCATACTATATTCATCAAGTTGGAGAAAAAGGAGCGTACAAATTACGAACTATAGATGGAAAAGTCTTACAAACTCCTGTAAATGGAAGTTTATTAAAATTGTATCAAGATCGACAAAATTGGGAACCAATAATTGTAGTATAATTAGTCACGATTAAGATCTACAACTCGTGGCAAATAGTTAATTTTACTTAGTACGATTTACAAGTGTTACAGATGATCAAAATGAATTTGTGACTCAATGCCCCAGAAAAATTTATTAAAAAGATGAAAAATTTTAGAAATTTTTATTGCGAAAAACTTAACAAAAATTTGTTACAAAAATACACTAGAAAATTTTTAGAGAAAATCAAAAAGAGGAAAATTTTATTTAATCAACTTCTTCATAATTAGGATTAGAAGTAGAACCGTTTGACAAAATTATATTACATTCCTCAAAAAGCATTTGTTTTGCTTCTTCAAATGCTGCTTCAGCACGACCTCTACTACTCTGCAAGCTTATATTATGTGAAATCAATTGACAAACTCCTTCTTCAAGACCTTCTATTGTTCGTCACTGATCGATGATTAATTTTTGGGCTTCCCATAATTTTCGCTGCTCCCCAGCCCAGATTTTATTATGGAACTCAGTATCGAGATTCTTATGAGTCCCCATTTCCAGCAAGTTTTCAAATTTTTCTTGAAGATCTTCTTTTTCTTCCTTAGCTTTCGTAAGGTCCTCTATTAGAAATAAAAATGGAGATTTATGGTCACTCCAAGTTAGTTAAAAACTAAGTGAATAAGGTCGATAGTACAAAAAAGTTATAAAGGTAGAGGCCTTTCAAGACTTAAATATCCTAGAAGTACAAGTACCCCGTCTACAAGCTGCGCAAAATCAACCTTTCAAGAACCGGATATAAGGTCAAAACCCTGTCTACAGGCAATCATACCGTTCAAGAGACATCTTAAGAACCTTGCGTACAATATCCACCTTCAAGTTGACGAACTTTCATCTTACGCGCTTCTTTAAGTCTTTGAAATCTTGCTCGAGATTTCTGACGTAAGGTATTAGATCGACGACAGGTCATAATAGATAGATTGGTAGATAGATAGATAGGTAGACAAAGAAAATTTTGGAAAAATTTTGGGATAATATCAAAGATTTTACGTGAAGATAAGAAAAAGAGAAAGGGAAAAATTTAGACCTTATATAAGAAATAGGCACGACGCGAAAACACGTTAAGATCAGGCACAACAAAAATATCACGAAAAATCATGACGCGAAAAATTATGAAAAATGTGGACGCGTAAGACACGCAAAAATCACTTTTGAAAATATTTCTGGAAAGTTCTAGAGAAAAATGAGAAGATATTTTTAGAACAAGGAAAAATAATCTTAAAATAGAAAAACGCGGTTAAATAATTTAAGCGATAAAAATAACTGATAGATGTGGTGAAACATGATAAGTAATACAAAAATCTCATCAGAAATAAACAAAAATCTAATCAGCAAAATGATCTACAGAAATTTAAAACATATATATAGATGCGGATAAGTTGACAAAAGAGTTTAAACCGCTTGAAGAAAAATGGATTTTTCAGAAATACTAGAAGATATTCAACAAACTACTTCAGAAGAAATTAATTTTCCACCGCC